TATGTTTGTTTGCCAGGAGAACTGCATCGCGTCTGCGTTTTTCTTATGCTCTCTTTATTGGTCTGTTTCATTCTAAGTAGACTAAATACTGTATTAGTCAGAACACTGGGCTTATGTTATAGCCACAGATTAACCCTGAAATCTCAGTGGCTAGATACGTAAGTGTATTTCTTACTTGTACTCCTTGGCCAACACAGGTGGATGGGGTATGAGGTGGGAAGTTCTCCATTTACTCATTCAAGGAGCCAGGCTAACAAAAATCCCCACCATCTAGAACATCTCTGGTAACTGTGGCAGGAAACAAGAAGGGAATGGAATGTCTCTCACTGCTCTCCAGCACTTCATCCTGGAAGTGACATATGTCATGTTTGGCTCCAACCTATTGGCCAGAAGTAGTCACATATTTCTCTAAGGGAATTTGAGGGTATCGAGGAATTACCCTCAATTTTGAGGTATTAAGGGAATTGAGGTCAACAGTGCCTCTTCTCTTCCAAGATTCTCTGAGGACCTGGACCATAAAACTCTACTTGTTTAAGAGAAAGAATACAGTGATTAAGAGGACAGACCCTGTAATTGGACTGCCAGGCTCTAGAGCCTGACTTCCCCACTTACAGCGGTGTGACCTTGGGCACCTTATTCAGTTTCTCTGGGGCATAATTCCTTGTTTGTAAAACATGGATAGTAATGAGTTGAGCCTCACAGAAACATTATGAGGCTTGAATGAGATTGTGTGTGTGCGTGTGCGTGTGCGTGTGTGTGGAGAGGGACTGTACGTATGTATGTATATTATTGCTCAGAGTATTATGCCAAGTAACTGTTAGCAACTATTTGCTATTGTTGCTACTTTGCTGGCTTCCAGTATAGCATCTGAGAGGAAGGCCAGTTTCTGACTGTAGTTGAGGGACTGGAGGAAAGACACTGTAATAATAAATTTATGTGCGCAGTGCCAGCATGTTTTCATCCCAGAAAAGATGAGCAAGGGAACATGCACGGGGGGATGGGGGGACATCCAAGGGGCAGTCACTGACTAGATCCCACGGATGACAGGAGGGCCATCGGGTGTGAGTGTCTAAGAGAACGAAGCTTGAGTTTGCAGAGGAGTTGGGGGCCCCGTGGGAAAGTCGGTGCACAGAAGCCCTGATGTTCTGGTGGGAGGTGCCCAAGCCATAGGAAGGCACCTGAGGCGGGGTGCAGGGAGCTGTTTCTTAATGGTCAGGCTTCTGTAAGCAGGGCTGGCACTCAGAGTCAGCCTCCAGGCATGGGGGCCAGATGCTGCGGATTTCATTCCTGACTACACTTCTCCATGTGGCCTGGCATGCCGTGTCCCTCATCAGCAAAATGGAGATAATAATTGTCCCCATCTCTTAGGACAACGAGGAGTAAGGGAAATAATGTCCGGCAAGTGCTTGGAAACATGGCATGAAGGAAGGAGTCAGTAAATGTCCTACTTAGCTAATGGAGCTTTTATTTTAAAAGAAATTTAGGGGTTATCTTTTAAATGACCATTTTCTCAGAGTTTGATCTAAATAGACCTGAACTGGCAGGCGTTCTCATGAGTGCTTTTAGCCCTCCCTGGATTTGAAAGAATGGGCCATGTTGTCGCCAGATCAGCTTTTCATTTTTTCTTTCTAACCTGAATGGTCAATCAGTAAATGTTTTTAGCTTTGCAAAAAATAACAAATCACATTGGGCTAAAGAGTGACCAAAATAGACCATTTTAAAAACTAATTTAAGATCAGTGCTTCCCCTTTAAAAATTGTGTGGTACTTTTACTGATTGGTAGCAGTCACTGCCCTTGCCTCCTGAAATATAAAATTATTCCCAAACAGAACATACTCTGTGTCTAGATTTAAATTGTCTTGTTGAGTAATTAGCTCTATTTTTTAATATGCCTAGTTTAAATTCAGGGTCTTAGAGGACCACTGTTTTCCATTATACATATACTTTAGTATATAATTCTAGTACATGTAGTTAAGCATGTGAGGCATGTCCTTTCGTTGAAAAAATGAAGAACTTCACAGATATTTCAATAAGGCTTTAGAATTTTGTTAGTAATAGTAAAAACCAGTGCTATTCAGTTAGATGGATATTTAAGAACTTTTTGTGAGCCGGGCTCTATGTCAGGTGCTGTGCACGTAACAGATGGCGTCCTTGTCTTCATGGGACTCATAGCCCGGCCGAGTTTTTTTTTTTTTTTTTTTTTTTAATATTAATATTTTTATTTATTTCTAGGAGAGAGAGAGAGAGAGAGAGACAGCGTGAGCAGGGGAGGGTCAGAGAGAGAGGGAGATACAGACTCTGAAGTAGCCTCCAGGCTCTGAGCTGGCAGTCAGCACAGAGCCCGGCACGGGGCTCGAACCCACGAGCCACGAGATCATGACCTAAGAGAAGGTCGGACGCTTAACCGACTAAGCGACCCAGGCGCCACTAGCCTGGCCGAGTTTATAATCTGCCTACTGCTGGCTTTTTGTCCGGTTTAAGAATTAGATGGTCTCCTGGCATATAATAAAACAGTTAAATCTTCTAATACTTTTTCAGGGTCTGTGTGATGCAGTTCTGTCTACTTTGTGGCTAGGATATAGAGTCAGGGTTACATTTCCGATGTGACCTTTGGTTTACCAAGTGCCTTTTGTGAACTTGGGTTTTATAAAGTATAAGTGAATACTACATGCTCCTCCTGTTTCACAGGAATGTGAAAAGGAAGGCATTACATAAAGTATGGACTATTTTATAATTTATTGAGCTTGTCACATATACCCAATATTATTTCTGACATCTAACATTTACTATTCTATACCATCTATACTATTCTACACTGTCATTGAAGAGCTGATGTATTTATACCAATTCAAACTAAATAGATTTGAGGTTTTTAAATTTTAAATTAACCAAATATCCTTTTAGAAAAAAAATAAAATTATGGAGAGGTAAATATGATTAGCTGCTGTAAAACTGTCAGCTTTCCTAGATGAGTTTTTATAGTTCAAGATTACAATTTAAAATTGTTAATAATAGATCACCTGATTTATATAGAAAATACTTAAAACAGGTTTGTGATCTTGAAACAATGTGTTGTATATAAGGCCACTTCCTTTGTTCTTTAAGAGAATACAAAAATTATACAGCACTGTCCCTGTTCTCCAAGTTTACCTACTCCATGAGGGAAATAAATGTAAAAGCCAACTCATAATACAAGACAGTGGAAGGGTGCCCAGAGGCCGTGTGTAAACCATGGCTGTGTGAATAAAATAGTAAGGGCCTTGTGAAGGAGAGTGAATAGTTGAGTTTGCCTGGAGTGCTGGCTTGTTTTTTTTTTTGTTTTGTTTTGTTTTGTTTTTAAGATGGAGATGGATTTAAAGTTTACCTTTTTGGCAATATGACTGCTGATTTGAGAAAATCATTTATATGGATTTGCGGTATATTGGAGGCAGGAAGCAGAAAACTCAACAGATAAAAGAGTGTGGTATTTCTTTGCCGAGTGACATAGATGTTTACTTCCTTGTTTGAAGGATCTTAAGAAGATCCTCAGCACAGAGAGGACTTTCTCATCTCCTGCGAAGCCACATGCACATTGTCTCGTACATAAGCCAGTCTGTGCTCAAATGTCGTCACAAAACTTGTACACCGTAAAGACACTCTGAAATTAAGGAGGCTTTGTTTCAGGTTTTCCTTCAGTTGCTTTCATAATAGTTTTCCTTTTGGGATCCAATTCAAATGACTGTGTAAGTGCCACCTTGCATAACATGTAGTCTTCTTCTCTTTCTTCCACTTCACTTGTGGAGTTTTGTGTGTGGTGTGAGGAAAAGACCCTCACATCCTGACGTCCATCCATGTTGTTTCACCTATCTCCAACAGCTGTTAGCAAGGTCGGTGCCTTTTTTTTTGGTCAGTGGATTCAAGGTCAGCAGCTCTTTGTGAAATTCACATAATACAAATCCGAAAGTACTCAATATAGTGGTGTTGACTCAATCATAAAGACACATTTTCTTATGGGATAAAAGTTGAAAATGAGTAAGATAAGAATTCAAAAGAAAAGATTTCCAGGATATAAAGCCTAATAAAAATTTAAACTATGACTCATGATATAGCACCTCATTTCTGTATGTTCCATTATCGAAATTGGTATTATTGCTAATATAAATACTGCATTGGGGCAACTTGGGGATTCAGTAAAAACAGATTTGAGCTGGCAGACAGGGTGACAGTACTTGCAAAGGTCATGAGTTTGCCAGTACCTACTCGTGCTCAAGTATTTATGTGAGCAACTGTATAATGTTGTGAAGACTCCTGGGAACTCTTCAAGTTTATATTTTTCATTTCCCCTCCTATCTCACTTAGGCAAACAGCAGCTCTAGCTCCCACTGCTTATCCTCCTTCCCTGTTCTGGTAACCCAGACCATTGAAATACAGACAGCAGGACACTATCAAACCCATGGATAAAAAAGGAATGGTCCCTTAGACCCAAGGAAACCAAGCATATTTGCAAATTTTTTTATTCTCAACCAGAATTCAACAGGTGGACCCTTCTCTCAGTGTGTACCTCCACATAAAATCCTTGTCATGTTCCTGAGCTCTGGACCCTTAACTACTTGGGGAAGAGTGTGGTGCTTTCATTTGCCTTAGTCACCATCATTATTTATAATGTTGCCATCTGAATCTCTTACTGCTAATTCTGTTCTCTCTGTAAGTAAGCATTTAAAGACATACTCTTAATTTTGTAGCATCCTGCTCTTTATTCCAAAAGAGTTCTTTGAAACAAAATTTTATGACTCAGAACAAAAGAAAGCAAAATGCTGATATTATCAAGGAGATTAAAGTCAAAGATTGAAAGAAGTACAAGTTAAAGAAGTGTGTTAACAAAAAGAAACATGTTACAATATTGACATTTTTTACACTAGCAAAATACAGCCTTATAGTCTTTTTTTTTTTTTGCCAAATTATTGGAAGGAATTTTCAATGTTTAAATTTTTCATTAACATAAAAATCTTTTTATACTGATATAAAATAGGCTTCCTTTTGGTAGGGTATTTTATTTACACATTAGAACTTTGCTTTATGTTGTTTCCTTGATTGTAAAAAACAATATATACCCATTTACTTCCAATAGGGAGGTAGGAGTTCATGCCCAGTGAAAGGAATTTACAAGAATCCTAACTGGAAGTTGAACAGTCATTTTGCTTTATAAGAAATGTCCAGCAAAGTTCATCATACAGTCTACTTTGCTATAAACTCAAGAGTTAATTCCTTTCTTACTTTCCATTTAAAGACTTGGAATGTATCATTGTTTGAGTTTCTGTCATTTCACGTGAGTTTTCTTCAGGGGCTGACTTCACGGCACTGGAAATTGATACGCTGACCTGACGCTTCAACATCTTCATAACCTTTCTCTTGTACCCTTTACATGCAAAGAAATATATGAAAGGGTCCATGCAGCAATTGAAGTTCATCAGACATACCGTAAAGTGCAGAGAAATCTGGAATGAATGTTTTTGGCTACATTCCAGGAAATCAGAAAAACGAAGCTTCTTAATCATGTGTTGAATAATTGCAACATGGTAAGGTGTGAAACAGAGAACAAACACAACAATTATAAAAATAATTGTGTTGAGAGCCTTTTTGTTTACACCAGATTTCTCAGTCAGTGGGTTTTGTTTGGCAGTTTTAAAGAGTTTGCAACAGATTTGAGAATAGCAGATGAGAATGATTAGGAGAGGGAGCACATATCCTATGAAACATGCACCAAGCAGAATCCAGGGAAGAGATTTTGTTTCTTCAAAGTTCGGATACTCCATGCATGTAGTCCTTTCTTTCTCCTGCTTTGACATAGGTTTTATGAGTAGTGGGAGTGTTTGAGCGAATACTAGGATCCAGACAAATATGCAAATGCATTTTGCATGTTCAATTCTTTTCATTTTGTTGTATCGCAGAGGGTGTACCACAGCAAAGAACCGGTCAATGCTCAAGCAGGTCATGAAGTTCACACCTGCGTATGTATTGATATAAAACACGACAGCCGTTACCCTACACAGGGCCTCGCCCATTCTCCAGTCAAAGCCCATTGCGTAGTAGGCTATCCGTGTAGGCAAAGCAGTGGTAAAAAGTATATCAGAAATCACCAAATTTGTTGAATATAGAGTGGTAGAGTTGATTTTTTTCCTGTTTTGAATAATAACAACCAAGGCAAGCACGTTTCCCACAAGCCCGATTATGAAGACAATGCTGTAATGTAGAGGCATTAGTATCCTGGCTGTGTTGTGGTGTGAATAGAGGTCACAGTCACTTTCCTCAGTTGCTCCAGAGGGTGTAGTAAAATTGTTGTCCATTTTTGTATCCATCGGGGGTGTTCAAAGTCTGCAGGGAAAACCAAGGAGAGTACTTTTAATTAGAAGCATATTTAACTAAAAGTAATATAAGCTGCCTTTTATAGAGCTAACTTTTAAAATCTGTAAAAAATTTATATAATTTTTAAAAATCTTTGGTATTTTACACAGTAAAGGAAACCATCAACAAAACCTTGAAAAGGCAACCCAGTGAATGGGAGGAGATATTTGCAAATGATATATCTCATGAGGGGTTCATATCCAAAACATATGAGGAACTTTCATGACTCAAAACAAAAGTAATCTCGATTAAAAATGAGCAGAGGACATGAATAGGCATTTTTCCAAAGAAGACCTACAAGTGGCCGGCAGACATATGAAAAGATGCTCAACATCCTTAATCATCAGGGAAATGCAAATCAAAACCACAATGAGGTATCACCTCACACCTGTCAGAATGGCTGGTATCAAAAAGACAAGAAATAAGAAGTGTTGTCCTGGATGCAGAGAATAGAGAACCCTCATGCACTGTTGGTGGGAGGGCAGACGGGGGCAGCCACTCTGGAAAACAATACGGAGCTTCCTTAAAAAATTGAAAATAGAAATACCACATGATTCAGTAATTTCACCACCGGGTATTTAAAGAAAACAAAAACACGTGTTCAAAAAGATATACATGTACCCCTATGTTTATTTTAGCATTTTTTTTTTAATTTTTTTTAATGTTTTATTTATTTCTAGGAGAGAGAGAGAGACAGTTTGAGCAGGGGAGGGTCAGAGAGAGAGGGAGTCACAGACTGAAACAGGCTCCAGGCTCTGAGCTGGCAGTCAGCACAGAGCCTGACGCGGGGCTCGAACCCACGAACCGCGAGATCATGACCTAAGCGAAAGTCGGACGCTTAACCAACTAAGCCACCCAGGCGCCCCTATTTTAGCATTATTTGTAATAGCCAAGATATGGAAGCAACCCAAGTGTCCATTGGTAGGTCAGTAGATACCACACACACACACACACACACACACAAACACACACACAGGAATATTACTCAGCCACAAAAAAAAAAAAAAAGAGATCTTGCCATATGCAACAACGTGGATGAACCTAGATGGTATTATGCTAAATGAAATAAGTCAATCAGAGCAAGACAAATACCGGATGATCTTTCTTACACATGGAGTCTTAAAAAGCGAAACAAAAAAGCAGGAACACTTTGCTTTTAAAAACTTTGCTTTTAAATTGAATACATATAGAGAGCAAGCTGGTAGTTACCAGAGGCAAAATGGGGGGTAGGGGTGAGGAGATAGATGAAATAGATCAAGGGGATTATTAAGAAGCACACCTCCAGGGGTGTCTGGGTGGCTCAGTTGCTTAAGCATCTGGCATCATCTTAGGGCTTGATCTCACTGTGAGTTCAAGCCCCACATCAGGTTGTGTGCTGACAGCTCAAAGCCTGGAGCCTGCTTCAGATTCTTTGCCTGTCTGTCTGTCTTTCTCTCTCTCTCTCTACCCTACTGTCACTTGTGTTCTATCTCTGTCTCAAAAATAAATAAACATAAAAATTGTTTCTTTTCTTGGGGCATCTGGGTGGCTCAGTTGGTTGAGCATCCAAGTTTGTTCAACTCAGGTTATGATCGCGTGGTTTGTGCGTTCTTCGAGGCCTGCATTGGACTCTGTGCTGACAGCTCAGAGCTTGGAGCCTGCTTCAGATTCTGTGTCTCCCTCCCTTTCTACCCCTTGACCCCCAGTCTCACACTGTCTCCCTCTCTCTCTCTCTCAAAAACAAATATTAATTTTTAAATTTTTTTCTTTAAAATAAAAAAAGCACCCCTCCAAAAGAAAAAAAATCTATGATATGTTATATGTTTACATATATAGTAACAAGAACAGATAATAAAATTTATGTTTTTACTCACAACTTGGTGATTTTGGCAAAGCCCTGGCAAAGGAAATAAGAACCATCTAAATAGAGCAAGTATAGTTTTGTGACAAGAGGGGACATGCTGACTTTTTAGGCAGAAATCCCCCCCCCCCCGCTTTTTTTCAGAATCATTGTCTGGTTAAGAACAAAATTGTGTGTAGCACCCCACATTTTAGATGGGAGTAAAACTTTGCTTTTAAATTGAATTTCAGTTGGACTTTTTTCTTTTCTTTTCTTGTTTTCTTTTGGCCAAATGCGTATCACTGCCAGGAAATGAAATCAGTCACACATTTATTTAGTGAAATACGACCTTACCACAGTGATCTGATTTGTGTTAACCTAAAAAGTATGAGAAACAAGCTAAGGCCTTGTTAGGAACTGAAAGTTAGGTTTTCTTTTAAAAAAGAAGAAGATGATGACCACGACAACCACGACAAAAACGACGAAAAAGAAAGAAAAAACTGAAGCTGTTTCAGGGGAAATGTTAAGATTAATTCTGCACTAGATTGTCCACAAGTTTACCACTGGTGCGGGCAGTGTGCATTCCTTTGCTTCGCGTGCTTGCGAGCATTACACGTTGCAGTGTCCTGTGCTCTGCTTTACTCACTTCACATGTTCATGGATCCTTGGTGAATAGTTGGGTTATTTCCAATTCTTTTCTTGTTGTAAATAATGTTAAGATGAAATTTCAAGTCCTGCTTTGAAAAGTGGAAAGCAATAATAAAACTCCTTATATGAGGCTGAGCTTTGATAAAACTTAGGAAGAACAGAGCAGTAAATTCCATGAAGCTATCTTTAGAAGAACAGTGATATTCAGATAGGACTGTGTGCACAAATCTCATCTGAAAGTCACCAAAATTAAGGGAAAATGTCAGCGTATCTAGTGATGAGGGTTTATGTTAAAAGAAAGACTCTCTCCATAGCCATATTAAAACACCAACTACTACTCTGACCTCTGTATTAAATGAACTGCATCTCTGCTAACTTAGTTCTAACAGTCTTAAGCAGTGATAGCATCAGGCAGTGGGGGTTTTCAGAGCATTGCTTTAATGTTATAGGTGTGCATTACATACAGTGTTGATAGGTTAATTGTTAAAATATGGAAATACAACCTAAAGCAAAAGAGAACAAAACTGGAAGTAGTACTTCCTGTTAATCAAGAAATGACAGGAAAGGAGACTATGAGAAAGAAATTTAAATAGATTGATCTTGCCTATTAAAAGACACTATTGGTTTAGATTTTTTAAAAAATCCAACTCTATGCTGCTTAGAAGAAATATGACTCAAAAAAGTGGCTCAGAAAGGTTGAAAATAAAGATACGGGCAAACATATATCAGGCAAATCCCAACCAGTAGAAAGCTAGAGTTAGCAATGCTAACATCAGAAAACAAACAGAATAGAAGGCAAATTCAATATTAATAGGGATGAATAGAGTCACTACAGAAGTTAAAAAGAACAGTTCACACAGAATATAAAAATAATCTTGAACTGTGCATGTAACAGCAAAATTTAAAGGAGGAATTGGAGATTTTAACACATCTTTATTAGAATATGCCAGATAGATTAAAGACTTAAAATATTTGCCCAGTGAGACTTTACAGAATTTGTGTTGAAGGAACATGAACATTTTTGGAAGTTTGACGGTGTACTAGGTCATCATAGGGCCTCTGAGCTTCCAGAAAAAATGTTACCTAGCAGCTGACATTCCAGTGACTACAGTGCAACCTAATTAGAAATGAACAATACAGAGATAAAGGGTACATTTAGAATCTAAAAGAATACATGTTTCTAAGGAACTCATGGGTTAAGAAATCATTATAGGAATTTTGAAATACTTAGAACAAAATACTAAAATACTATATGCCAAACAATGGGATGCAGCTGAAATGTTAATCTAGGATAAATGTAGAGCCTTGAATGCATTTATTTTATTTTCAGCTTTTACATTTTAAAATAATTTTTATTTTAGTATAATTAACATATAATGTTACATTAGTTTCAGGTGTACAGCATAGTAATTCAACACCTCTATATGCTTGTGAATGCATTTTTTAAAAATTGAAAATAGATAAATATGTAGGTTAGGAAGCTAGAAGGGAATTGTTTAGCCAAAGAAAATAATAAAGATAGTTGCAGAAATTAATAAAATAGAAAACAAAACAAACACCCAGTAAATACGAAATTTCTGTTTTGTGCAGGAAAAAAATAGACTGATTCTTGAAAAGGAAAGCATGGGAATTGCAGTTGTGGAATGAAAGTAGCAAAACCTTATCCAGTAAGTTCAGAAAGGCTTCCTGTGAGAAGTAACTTTTCAAGAACTGAGACTAGATGCAGAGAGGTGAAAATTCCAAGGAGGGGTTACAGCTTAGGAATAGGTAGCAAGAACTTTTTATTTTTGTACTTTCTGTGAAATTTTTTAAAAAAATATCAATATGTATATTTGATTTTGAATATTTCTCAGCAGATTTGGGAAATGCTTTTAAGACAAATATTAAGATAGAAATTCTCCATATGAATAAATATCATTGTAGAGATTAGGAAAGTCAGGTTAATGTAAGAGTCAGAGAAGAATGTCCCATTGCTTGCCATGTTGTAAATGTGTATCCAGCGTCTTTACTGAAGTATGACTTCCAGTAGAGTCAGAAATGGCAGGGGGTTCAGAACAACTGATGCTCAAGAATATTTAACAAGGTGTTAATTATAAGGATGAAAATTTGCAAACAAATCAAATGTCCATCATCAGGGCATTGGCTAAATATTTTATAGCATAGCCATAGAGTGGAAATGACTGTGTGCATGCCTGTTTCTTGACGGGGAATAATGTTAAGTAAGGAATGCAGACTACAAAACATGCCACTTTGCAGGGGAGGAGAAGCAATTCTGTGTACACATGTGTACACACATCTGCATGGATATGTATGCCAGGGTATAATTTTGTACACGTAACTTTTGAGTTTTATCTATATACTCTTAAACTTTTCTTCTTTTTTAAAAATGTGTATTTCTTTATTTTGGAGAGAGACAGAGAGAGCAAGAGAGGGGCAGAAAGAGAAGGAAAGAGAGAATCTCAACCAGGCTCTGCACTGAGCCCAATTTTGGAGAGAGACAGAG